AGACACGGAGGGATTCACAGCCCAGATCTGCAGCGCTGACCTCCAAACCACCCGCCCATCCTTGACCCAAGTCTGTCTGCTGATGAATCACACACACACACACACACACACACACACACACACACACACACACACGCCGCGCTAACTGGTTTCTGTTAAGTTACCTTCATCTGTTGTTCCTCTGCCTAAAGCATGTGCCCCGCACCCAGACCCGCTATACCTGGTCAGACTCTGCACCCTCATCCTGAGTGACCAGGTGAATGGATGCCACTTTCTCTCCCAGTGGAGCTTAAAGCTCTTCAATCTTGCTCCAGTTCTCTGTCATGTGGTGTTTTGTTTTCTTAAGTGTTGAAGTATTTGACATTCATCACATCAAATGGTGGAATTGAACCGTTCTGTAGACCTGGGATTCACTGACTAAGTTTTCTGCCATATGACTTCCGAGGCTCATTCAGGAAAAAAAAAAAAAAAAACACAAGGCTTCCTCCTGCTTCTTGCAGGACACACGCCCTTGAAGCCCTGAGCCTCAGGTGATGTCCCACTACCTTGAGGCTGGCATGCTGTGAAGAAACCAGTAGGGTGGAAAGGCTGTGTGGCGTGACTGCGCCTGCCATCAGCACCCACAGAGTGCTGCGGCCGCAGGAATATATCATAAGAACTCAGCCGGTTATGGCAAAGTCACTGCCTGGAGGGATCAAGGAATTCCTCCAGAGGAAGCCAAATTCCAAGGAGTTTTTGGTGCTATTTGGCTTGTTATATATCAGCTGTCTTCTGTTATGAAAATCATGTGTGCCTTCCTAGCTTTCCCAATTGACTTTTCCCTAAGAAGGGCTAACAGTGTGGACTGATCACTCTCTAGACATACACATTCCAGGTATTTGGAGAACTGCCTCAGGAAAGGCTTTCTCTGGAATCAGATATCTCCCTTAGCCACTTTCAAGGACTAGCAGTAATAACAGTCCACATGCAAGTCTCCTGACTTAAGGTAAATTCCACAAGGAGACACCACCTAGGTCAGGTGGACATTAAGTAATAGCTTTACACAATTCAGCTCAGACCCTCTTTCTTACAGTCTTACTAACTTTATAGACCTTTAACTCCTTACCTAACCACTTCTAGTAATATTTAGATAACCTTCTGTACTGACAGCTATGCTCAGCCAGAACCCCAGTTTAAGCCTCCCTGTAATTATCATTGGCAGCATCTGGCCAGGTCCATTCCCAGTTGGAGGAAAGTACCTTATCAGAGATACCCCTGTATTCTCTAAGAACAGACTTAAGCATCCAGGCTACCTGTTTGAGAAGGCCTGGCAGATGTGCCAATTAAGCTTTACTTCCTCCTTTCTCAAATCTTACCTCTGGTTCCAGATCTCCCTTTAACTATCACCAGAGGCATCTAGCTGTACACAGGGTTGCCTAGCGACTGAGCACACTTTCCCCCACCCTGCAGAAAAATGGTAGATAGCTTGGACAGATAGGAGCCACAGGAAAAAGAAGGCAGTTTTATTTTCTCCCATTGACCTAGCAACTTATAGATTCTTAACATTTTCTACCAATCACATTTAAGAGTTTAATAGTTGAGCACATAAGATCCCTCTTCTTAGATATTACACAAATTTATCCTTTAGTTAATTCATTTCCCCATTGGTCACTTCCCTTTCAGGTTGCAAATTGCCCCGGCCGGCGGGGTCTTCAACAGGGACCTAAAGGGAAGGCCGGCGAATGAGAGGGACAAGAGACACAAAGAATGAGAGCAAGACAGAACGTCTGATCAAGCTCCAAAGTTTTATTTTTCTCTCAAGGCATATATAGGTAGGCAAAGGGGGTCGCAAGCAGGAAGGGACTTAATTATGGGGGTTGCAAGCAGGAAGGGACTTAATTATGGGCTGTTCGGCCAGCAGGAAATGTTGCTCTGAAGGTTATCTATCTACCCTTGTCTAACTGACTAATTGCTTGACTGCAGCTCATTCACCTGATATCTGAGAAGAGGTTCTGGTATCTGTGGGAAGAGGTTCTGGTGCTATGGAGACTTAAACAAGGCCTAGATCTAAGAGAAGAGGAGAGAAACCCAAATATGGCAGCCTGTGTGTCAAGGGTCGATTAGGCTTATGGCTCCCGTCAGCAAATGATAATTAATGGTTATTGTCTCTCAATGTGATTCTTATCACCCCTCTGTTTGACCTGGAAGCCTGGCTATATATACCAGGACTTCCAGGACACTGGGGGATGGAGAAGAGAAAGGAGAATGGAAGAACTAGATGGGTAAGAACTTGAGAGGAACAAACTGAGATGGGGAAGAACTAGATTGAAGGGCTAGAAGAGAGGACTAGAGGAACGAGATGGAAGATGAGAAAGAGCCAGATGGGGAAGTACTAGCTGGGTAAGAACAAGATGACAAGGACCTAGATGAGGCAGAATAAGACGAGAGAATTAAGATAGAACTTAGAGGGAGCAATAGATAAGTATAAAGAGAAGTCAGGCAAGAAAGGAGCTAGGCATGAGAACAGAACTGAAGCTGTGTATAAAGGATGTTATGCCAGAGGAATTAAAGCAAGTGGACTATAGAGCTCGATGTGCTGAGATTCTATTTCCCGAAAATAGTCCTCACCATTAGTAGTTCTCTCTCCTGAGCCCCTGGGATGTATAATATTAAGACTGGTCCTGCTAATATTATACAAGAACAGAGGTTCCCAATTGGTGGCCAGTGTCAACCTCCATATATGAGTGAAGACCCTTTGGGTGCTCCCGGTCTCGGCTACTGAGTTACCCACCATCACTGAGTCTTCCCAGGTCAGATATTATGGAGCAGAGAAAACCATGGGTCTTGTTTTTTTTTTTTTTCTCCTCACTCCACATTTGTGATGCACAGAATCAGCGAGCATAACAAAATGATAGCCTGTGGGGTCACGTGATACATACCGGTAGCAACTGAATCATAGTCATAACCACTTTTCTTCAAATATGTTTTTTTATTCCAACGGGTTGTTGGTTACTGTGCTTGGTTCGAAATATAAGCTCTATGAGAATAGACATCTTTGGTTTTGTTCATTGTACATCAGCCTAGAAAAATGCTAGTACATGGTAGATGCTTGCTAAGTATTTATTGTTAAATTCACTTATTAGAAGGAATCAATGATTTCTCCTCTCCTATATCTTTCTTCTCTCTACTGCACCCCTGCTGTCTGTGCTCAAAAATTCCTTATTTCTTACCTAAATGTGATCTGACCAGATACCACCTACATACTTCAGGAGGTGAGAACATAAGAGGAACATTGGGTCCTATAGCTCAAGCCAATGAAATGGATCTGGACAGGCATGCTTGTACCACGATGATGAGGGAATGAACAGGGTGCGCTGTGGCCTCTCAGGGCCTTAGGAATGAAAACTAGTCCATGCCCAACCAAGGAAGTTACATGAAAGAGAACTATGCTATAGAAACCATGCAGAGAAACTAACTATAGTTGAGCTCGGGTGCTCTTAGGGGACCATAGGCTCACACTGATGAGCAGAGGAACTGGTTGGCTGATGTCAACAGACAACAGAGCCATTACGTGATCAAAGCAATACTAACGGGTTGTATTACGCTAAACATGGGAAGAGAAGGAGAGAGGAGGCACGTATGTTCATCACAGCATTCCAGCTAATTCAGTCCCCATCAGAACCACAGTTCTTGTGAGATGCCACTACAGTTTTCTTTAATAATGGGAGGACGTTGGCATTGTATTTCAGAACTCTGTTTTTATTATACACGCTCCTTCTGCCCAAAATGTATGGCTCATCTTCATCCTCCTAATTGAAGGGTCCTTTAGCACCCACCTCAAGGATTTTGTCTGAGAAGCCTTCTCCCATAACTCCCTTCTCCACAACTCTATTCCACACTAAGGGTTACATAGAACTTCTACTTTGCAATCTCATCCTTGTATTAGAAATTCTTAGCTATAATTTGCAGGTACTCTGGTTCTACTTAAGTCCATTATGTTCTCTATTCTTAGTCAGTGAAAGGGCATCAGGAGTGATCAATTCCTGACTTAATGATGCTGATGGGAACTCACATCCTTATCACCTCTCTACTGGGCTCTTTTCAGCATTGACTTGACATTCAGCTAGTGACAGGTGCAGTTAGCCAACCTTCCATTACATGTGGTTCAGAAAAGCTTTTGCAAATGCAATCCCTTCATGTATCATATCCCATTTCCAAATAAACCAAGCAGTGGAGCAGAGTTATTTTAACCTACCTCCAACAGGAGGGTCAACAGTGGACAGTACTTGCTGAAAGTTTGGCTTCAAAGATAGGGTTTCTCTGTGTAGCCCTGGCTGTCCTGGAACTCACTTTGTAGACGTGGCTGGCCTCTAACTCACAGAGATCTGCCTGCCTCTGCCTCTCAAGTGCCAGGATTAAAGGCATGTGCCACCACCCAGTAGAACTATTTTTTTAAAATAGTTTTTATATTTTCAAAGCTTCTTCATATAAGAAAGATTTATAGCTACTAGAATTCTGTTATAAGTCATCTAATGCAGGTTTATTTGAAAAAAGTTAAAATGTCTTTCTATAAAATGACATTTGTTAATATAAATAAATATCCTCTTAAAAAGAAGAATATGGTCATTATGTCTTCATTTCTAACCCTTCAAAAATTCCCTTGTTAAGATGATTAATAAATAATTTCGCTGAACTAAGGAAATCATGTATGCATTGGCAGGTGATTAATCTCAGTGCAGCGTGAACAGAATCTAGTATTTATGAGCAAATTACCAATGGCTGTCTGGGGTGTTTCCGTGGTCAAACATATTGGTACATACACCAAAGTAAAAAACAGACTATTAAATTAGTCTGGCAAGATCCCAGTAGGAGAAATAAAAGATACCTAAGATATAAGAGTGGGCACCTTTTTGGCCCTCTCTTCCATAAAACACACCTCTACTCAGTCATGCAGCCACGTGGGAAGATCCTCACAATGGTATCTGAGAATCCTCATGAGCATATCTGGGCCTGTTTCCCAGCTATGGCAATGGGCCAGGAGCGGCCAGACAGACCCGACGAAACTGATCACCATAACTTCCTCTGCTAGTGATGGAGATCGGTCCATGGATATTGTATCGTTTTAGAAGCACCCATCTCTCCAAGTGTTTAACTTGGGAGCAGAGACGTTTTGTTGTCTGTTAGTTAAACATCTAGCTGTGTGCAAGAAGCTAAAGTCAGACTAAAGACGAGGGGAAGATGGAAGAGACAAGGAAAAAGGCGACTGGATACCCTCTGAATCCTTGAAGTCTAGATGCGACTTCACCCTCCTTGAGGTGGTTATGTGAGATAAAATAACAGTTCCTGTTCCTGAACTAAGTCAATTGAGTTTTGAAAGATGAAACAAAACCATTTGAACAATACATTGTTTTGCACTTAGGTTCTCAAAATCAAAATATTCCAAAATATTCTTGGAGGGAAGAAGTTTCACCAAGACTCAGGAAATAAATGAGTCTAACCAAGGCTTTGGAAGTAAACCAAACCCAAGTGTGAGAAAGCTCCTGAAATTGACGAGATCAACACAGCTCCGCCCTCCAGCAGAGTTCGATGAGCAGAGTCAGTTGCTGGGGAGAAGTCTCAGACCAGACCAGCTCTCTGCAACTCCTGCAGCGAGCTCCAGGGAGGCAGCTGTCCTAAGTCGCTCAGGCTGCAGTGAGCATGCAGCGAGGCAGCTGCCTTTGAGACATTTGTGTCCCTGTAAGCGACCCCTTCAGGCATGTTCCACAGAGTATGTAATATACTCAGGATTAATATTAGCTCAATAAAGCTGGGCGGTGGTGGCGCATGCCTTTAAATCCCAGCACTTGGGAGGCAGAGCCAGGCGGATCTCAGTGAGTTCGAGGCCAGCCTGGACTACCAAGTGAGTCCCAGGACAGGCTCCAAAGCTACACAGAGAAACCCTGTCTGAAAAACAAACAAACAAAAACAAACCAAAAATATTAGCTCAATAAACTCACCCACTCACAAAGGTGGGCTTCCCTGTCGCCAGTGCCTTTTTGGGGTGAACAAACATTACTAATTCAAACTTCATCTCTGCTATTACGATTACTAAAAGCTACTCCTGTTCCCACCAAGGAATAGGATGTTCGTCTGTGTTTTGACCTTCAGTTAGCATCCCTCTGGGGCATGAAACCCAATGTGGCTGCTCTCCCGAATCATCAGGCGCGGCACACGTGGACCTGTGCAGGCAAGCTTCACTATACTCTGGGTACTTTCCTGAGCCCCGGGGAACCTCCTCCCGAGTCCTAGGCTTTTGTCATCCCTCAGTGCTTATGTGTGAGCCATGAATTCACTTCGTGCATGTGCATCATCTGTCTCACCAAGCTCAGGCTCCTTGTAAGGGCACACCCAAGCTTCGGGGAGCTCAAGGGACCACCGGCAAACAGTTAACATGCCCCCCACCCACCTAACCACAGCCGACGGTTCACAGCAAAACGTGGGAGGCTCCGCACAAACCAACACAGTCGGGGCTGTTCTAAGGGGACAGCTCTTGTCCCGTGTGCCACAATCTAACGGCTGCATGCTCACAGAAGGGCCGAAGGGGACCAGACATGTCCCCACATCACAGATGATGTCTCAAGAAAGGGTGCTCATCAACAAACAACAGAAAGTATACAACCAACACTCCCTTCCCAAACAGCTTATAACAATACAATGATTCATTGTCCCTAAATCTTACTTGACTGTATCTTCAGGTCATTCTGGGAGGTAGGGGAAAAAAATGCTACAAACTCCTGCCTTTCCCGATTGAAAGAGTGATGTTTCAAAGACTTACAAATTAGGAATAAGAGTAAAATTGAAATCTTACTCCCAATTGCAACCTGTTACTTTTTACGTACACGATTCATGGAAGTCCTACTTTCATACCGACAGTGAAGAGTCATAGTTTATGTCAATAATAAAGGCACTCCTACTTTTAGTTGTAGGAGCACATTAATTTTGAATTCAATAATGGTCAAATCAAGCTGAACAAACAGAATGTGCCCCATTGCTCAGATAACTTAAAAACGGTGCATTTGGATATAAATCTTGATTTAGAAAGCAGAAAGATGTACAATTAACAACTGTACTCATTTTTGAACAAGTACGAACTTTGCATTCTAAATAGCAAGTATCTCTAATCCCCCCCACCCCGGTATTATTTGTAACCCTACACTTTTCCAGACTGAAAACCAGATCCTATCGGAAACCCCCTTCCTCTCCTGCTCTGCTGTCCCGAGTGGCATTCTACCCTTTCCCGAGATGCCCAGTTTTGGATGTGTCTATCAGCAGGTCCTTTGTAGGATGGGGGTGGGGGTGGGGTGGAAATTGATGGGAAAAGAAATTGGGCTGTCAGTTCCTGCAACGTGCCTTCAGCTCAGATCGGCCTGCTGTTTCCTCCACATGTCTTCTGCCAGCATATGGCAGACACATCAGTTCGCTTTCTCTCCCTGTCACGAGTGAACCAAGGTCTCCTGCGTAGTCATTATTTGTGAGGATTGTCCTGTAAGGATAATTTGATTTCCTATTCTCTTGTCTACTCTTTTTTACCACCTATTTACATCTCACTGATTCTCAGGGATAACGTCTTACTCAGTGCCATTCCATCTGCTCAGGTGCATGATGAAGATTCTATTTCCACGTGCTCTGTTCTGGAATTAGATGCCCATCTCAGCAGCCTCACTATGGACAGTATGCCCTTGGCCAAGGCAATTATCTGCTCACTGGCGCTATCCTCCTCTGAACAAAGGGGATAATTATAATTAATTGCCCTACTTCCTAATGTGCTTTGAAAAAAAAAAAAAACAAAACCACTGTGGATCCTTAGGATGTGTGGATGTACCATTCCTGGTGATGTATCTGCACATAGTCCCCAGAGGCCGCTGAACTTGTCGCCTGAAGTTGATGGATGTTTGACAATGGGACCCAAGACCATCGCTTAGCCGGAGCCTCATCTCTTGTACTGTCCGGTGATTGTACCAGGGTCAAGTTTCTCACCAGTGAAGACTCACGAGAAGGGACAAGAACTTGGTTGCTTCACTTCGAACCTGCAAAGCAAGCCAGCTGTGTGCAATGTTGGAAAAGGTGGTGATAGAATAGCAAAAGAAAACGATCCTTATTATTCAGACATTTTCAGTCATGAATAAAGAGTAGAATGTTGGGTTGAGTAGTGTCTAGACTCTATTATGGGCAGGCTTCTGCCGTATTTGCTCAATATGGAAAGGAAAAAAAAAAGGCGATTGAAGGAATCATTTCAGCAAGTCCTTTAGCCGACACGAATATGGAAATCTGCAGGGGGAAACTATGCACTGGAGCAGTTTGGCAGCTCACAGGGTTCCAGATGAGCTCAGATGTTTCTCGAATGTCAAGCACCTGCTACATGAGGCAGTGTGGAAATGCTGATCATGTTTTCACTGTCCCATCCACCGAGGTTGTGTTGAGCATAGAAGAGTTGGTTTTTAATTTTTTTTTTATTGCTACATAAAAGACTAATTTTAGCATCCTGCAGTTTAGACTTCATACTTTTGACTGGGAAAATAGAAAGCAGATTGGATGATTCCTAAGGAGTTCACATATCTGCTGAGTGGTGGTGTTATGACTGTATGAATGTCTACAACCTTTCATTTTTTCCATCTATGGATGTATTGGAAGGACATAGCCTAAAATATAGAAAAAAGTATTTCTGCATTAGAATATTTAACTGCGGCAATTTTTAGGTAGTCAAAATAATCTCGTTTTTTTTTTTTTAACTATTTAGGAATGGTTCAATAGCTGATTTGAAATATGACAGGGAAAATTATATAGCCATTTAAAATGATGTGAGTACACACGTTCCTGCATGTGGACATGTATTGTGTGAAGGTCAAGGGGAAATTGTCGGAGGCAGGGTCTTTCAGTGGTTGTCTAGGAGGCTGACCAGCAAGCTCTAGGATCCTGCTGCCTTTACCTCCTCAGTGCTGGGATTGTAAGTGCAGAATGCCATACCTGGAGTGCTGGGATCTGATCTTGGATTGAATTGTTATGCCTGTATGGCAAAGATTCTATTAAGTGGGCCATCTCTCCAACCCCTAAAATGATAGTTTTAAAAACTTTAATACCACAATGATTTTTGAGCATTGAATTAATGAGGTTTAAACATTGGGTTTTGAATACTTGCATTAAGATTTTTTTTTTTTCACTTATAAACTGTATGGCCGTGGCAGGCTTCTTGCTAACTGTTCTTTTATCTTAAATTAACCCATTTCTATAAATCTATACCTTGCCACGTGGCT